AAGATCGATCCGTCATCACAGCCGTCAGCAGCGTCCAGTTGCCCGCCAGCCGTGCCCAGTGGCACGCCAGCGCACGCTAGTGTGCACGCCTGTGCACCGTGCTGTGCCACAGGCCCTGCAGTCACCATGCCACAGCCAGTCCAGGCAGCGCCAGCACCCGCGGCCTTGGCAGGCCCGTTGGCCGAGCCAGAGGCCGACGGCCCGGCCATAGCAGGCCGGCGGTCTGGCCAGACCGGTTCGGACCGGTTGGACCAGTCCACCCTATATTTTAATGTTTCGAGTTCTGGTTCATGTTCAAGTTCCATTTTCAGTTAAGTTCCAGGTCTAGTCAGTCAGTTCAGTGTAATCAGTTAATTTATCAGTCTGAGCATACTCCTTAGTAATTGTTTATATAATTTTTCGGTTTGATCAGGCATCAACACTACCTTCATTTCAGCAGTTCAGGTGAGGACTCAGACTAAGTACTACATTGATTATAATTACGCTACCATGTTTGAGGTATGTATTATCAGTATCCGCTCGGAATGGTCGCCGGTCCATTCTGGGTTCTAGTGGCCCCAATCTACCCACTAGAGTGTGCACATGGTGTCCGGTATTAGTTTGTGCCGGCAGATGTTCAGTTATCAGTCAGGTGATTTATATCACGAGATCAGTATCAGATTATTCAGTACTGGTATCAGTTATCAGTTTAGTTTCAGTTCAGTTATATATACCAGGATCATGATATTGTTATTATTTTCACTGTTTTACTTTAGTATGAGTTTCTTCGGAGCACAGTGTTTTGGTGCTCACACCCCACGTATTTCATGTTTTTCAGGTCACAGAGTCGGGGACGAGGAGTGAGCTGACGAGCTGTTCAGGACATTTATTTTGATATGTATATGTTGTGTTTGGGCCAAGCTGTTATTCCGCTAAAACTTTCAGTACTTAAACTCAGCTTTTGATCCGACGTTAGTCGGTAAATACGTTATATAACCGTTTTTATTATAAGTTTAAAATTAAACGGTTTTTCAGATAAAAGTCAGATTTTCACAGTAGCACTCCGAATCAGTTTTCGCAAAAAGTAATATTTTATTAAATTATTCAGAAAATTTGTGAAAAATGCGTACTCTGATTTCAGTAAAATAGCGGGGTGTTACAATTGGTATCAGAGCACGTTTCTGCGTCTCTGAAAAGTTTTATAAGTCAGAAATTTCAGAAAAACCTGAACTGTCACGCTCACGCCTCGCCGACTACAGGTAAGTGCTGATTTATGTTTTCAGTTATAAACATGTTACTATTGTCTATGCTCAGAAATTATTAAAAATCATGACTTCGTTAAGATTCTCGAATCAGGATCAGACTTTAGAATTCAGTGTACTCAGATATAACTCTAGATTTCCTCAGGATTTCATGTCAGTAATTTCCCAGTCATGTTTAGCGACTTGTCAAGAAATTTGTGCGCTTTACTGATCAACTTCCAAATGTTATCAGAAAAGAAGTTCGAATCAAAATTCAGAACCTGAGAAAGGGGCTAAGTTTGAGAACTATAAATTAAATTCTAGATTTATTCAGGTCGAATTTACAACTCGTCAAGAGATTTGTAAACACTTATGTTATACAAATCTTAGTAATCATGTTCCTCAGACATTTTCTATCGAAAATTGCCATTTTGCCAATCAATTGGCAGATTTGAAAGAGGAATTCCTTGAGTTAGATCAGGGAATAGACTCACATCTCTTAAGACAGATCAGTAATTCATGTTCAGGGCTAAATTTTCATGTTAAAGGTTGTTATAATTTCAAGTCATTGTCAAGGTAATGGTTTCCAGTGTATAAGAGTCAATAGTCTGGGTTACCATGGAGGCTTGAAATACGAGCCACTCAGCTGGGTATACCATGGAGGCTTGAAGCTGGGGCCGGAGCAGTATGGTTTCATGTAATCACAACCTTTAAAGTCAGTCATGTCATGTATTTTATCAGTCATGATATTTCAAGCTATGATTTTCAATGATCGAGATCAGCTAATTCCTTTGTACTTGCGGGACCAGTTGATACTGGAACAGCCCTATACAGTACATAGTCATGAGTCAATGTTCAAGATTTAATGTTAATATTCATGATTTAAGGTCGACGTATAATAGTTGTTCAGCCGGGTTAGATATGGAGGTCTGCAATACAGACTATTAATCCAATTCTACCTGGAAACTTGAAGTCGCACCTTACCATGTCAAGTAAATCAGTAAATGTCATGTTCCAATTCCGAGGCGACTATTTAATTGTCTCGGGATATCTTTCAGAGTTCAGGTAAAGATGACTCAGTCATGTAAAAGTCAAGTCATGATTATTCAGTTAGGTGAATATTCAGGCTAGTCATGTCAAGATCGAGGATAGTCTGTCTAATGAGATAAGACTTATCAATCAATTCACAAGTATAATCAGTGCCTCGATTCTCAAATTTTGAAAATTTGAGAAATCGTAGGAAAGATTAATTCATGACAGACTTTTCTTGAGGTTAAGTTTGACCTCAGGGAAGGAAAGCAGTTGCAGATACCACAGGTTGACATACGACGCAACGGAGAAATGCCAATCAACAGCAACATATCATGCCATGATGACAAACCGATGCTTTTTATTCAAGGATGCCGCAAGAAGAGAAGGATGCCATGCCTGAGTCACAGTACACTGGGAGATTACAAAGAATTAGCATTATTAGTACATTGAGGTTACTAGCTTAAGGTACAGATATACAGACTACGTCGACGACACAGGTGCAATGTTCGCCAGGTGTTGTATGCAGGCGTGCCACACTCACTTGGTGAGGAGCAGGTGTGCCGCAATACCATGTGCCGCGAACGATGTGCCGCGTTATCGAGCATATTTTCATGAAAGGTAATTACCGATATTGCTAGTTATCCTTATTTGTACACATGCGTTCTCTGGAATCTTCCGGGTGTACCAACGACCGGGGTTTTCCACCACCAGCGTTCAGATCGAAGATCAGCAAGCAGCCAGGAAATGATGACCAGTACGCTCAAGAATTTCGTTTTGAGATCATGTATAATCATTGGAACACTTTATTTCAGTAGAGTGTCCAGTCTCAGTCAGCAGTAATCAACAATTCACTTAATTGTGAATTGATGACTCCTCAGTTCAGGTCAAATCCATTATTCAGTATTAAAGTACTGAATTTTCAAGTCATGTAATCAGTAAGTATGAGCTTTAAGTTAAGCTTGTACATCCCAGTTTTAGTATTTCCGAGGACGGAAATATTTTAAGGGGGGTGGATTGTAACGCCCCGTATTTTATTAATAAAGGAAAATACTAGCTTTTAGTTTTAAGCTAGTCTTTGTTAATAAATAATCATGTTCATGTTCAAGTTCGAGTAATCAGCTAGCTATATTCCAAGTTCAACTATTAGTCGATAAATTATTCGGTTTAATTATTTAAGTAACCGAATAAGATTCCAGATTTAATACCGATTCGTTTATTTAATTAATGAGTTCGGAATTAATTATTCAGTCAGGAATATCCCGTCATGTTAATAATAATAAATCATGTATTTAATTCCGATATAATAGCGTTGTCGATTATTATTTTCGGAATTAATTATTTTCAGTCGAGATTACCCGAAATTATTTTCGACGTTCCATTTATGTTCGGAATAATTTTGGTAATTAAGTATTATGCTTAATAATTAATTAAGCATAATGAAGTGATTAATTAGTAATTAATCACGCTAGTTGAGAAAAGCCGTAGCATAAATTTTGTTCAAATAGATCATTTGTCGTGGATGTTTTCTTCACAAGTAAGGAACAATTTCCTCCCCATCAAGTATTTGACGTGTCATCTTAGGAGTATTTATAAGGTGACTAATCAATTTGAGCCATTTATCATGTGGCAAGTGGCTTTATTTCATGAGTCCACCAAAGCATCATGTCACCCACATTTTTTTGTAGCCTTTCGGTTTTAGTATAAGAAGGGGAAAGTGGGATGAATTTTCCCCATCTTTTTAGCATATACTTTCATCTCATATTTTACTAAGCTTAGCAAGGAAGATAAGTGAACAATTTCTTTTACGCACCGCAAGCTTAACGCGCGCTCGTACGTACGGTCACGACGAGGTTCAAGTGCTTCGAGTGTTTAGCTCGATCAAGTGAGCAGCTGGAGAGGTAAAGTACTTGATACCTATTTGTAGTAATAGATATCATTACCATGATAACCAACTCCTATGTTAGCCGTAAGTGTGATCGGTCGTGCGAGTTCATGTCAAGAGCGCTCATGTTGATGTGAAATCTTTCGAGCAAACTTAGCATATCTAGCTATTTTATATAATATCATGTTCAGTCAGCTGGGGTTATTCGATGTATGTTCATGTTGTTGGTGTTTCGGCCAAGGGACGTGGTCGCGCACGTAGCGCGCACCACGGGCCGAGCGTGGTTGTGGTTTATATTAAGTAGCAGATCTCCGAGCATTTCATGTCCATTTATTTAGTAAATTGTGTTTCATGTTCAGTTGAGTTTGAATTGCCGAGAGAAAGGTCAGTTGGTCGTAAAACGGCTTACCGCCGTTGGCGGCGCACGGTGCGCTCGTCGCGGCCAAGTCCAGCCTTTCGTGCAATATTCATGTTTTTAGGTTATGTCAGCATTTATGTTCATATCCAGTCAGTTTATGTCAGTTGATGTTAGTTCGGTCGAGAGAAGTCGTCGGACGACCGGCAAGGGCCGGTCGTGGTCGCGCTGCCCGCACACAGCGGCAGCAGCGCGCCGGCAGTCAGTGATGCGGAAGTGGGTTCCGAGCCCCGGCGGCAAGAAAGACCAAGAGTCAAGACGACCCGAGGAGGCTGAAAATAGGGGCAAAACGACACATGCATGGCCTAAAAGACGGGTACGAGCACGTATGCGGGGCACTCAAGCACATGAAAAGCGGCATGTACAAGGCAGTAGATAAAGGCGGGCACACGCGCATTGGCGTAGACACGGATGGCGCAACGAGACTACAAGCGATGGCGCGCCTTGGGCGTGGGTTGAACGAGGGGCAGCGCTGGGCGCACGAGGATGCGTGGTAGGCGAGCAGGCCGCGGGCGTTGGTGGTATGCACGGAGCTGTGGGCGACGGACGAGAGGAGCGCGCTGGTCGCGCGTGATACGGAAGTGGGTTCTGGACCCCTGTGACAAGAAGGTCGGCGGTGACCGGCTAATGAGCGAGTGGCGCGCATC